TAAGGCGAGAGCCACATGTTGAAAACCACCCGCCCTCAATCCGTGAAACACTTTCAAATGTTACAGAAAGAAGGCGCGCGGCGCCAAAATGAGAACCACATGTTGAAAACGACCTGACCTCAATCCGTGAAACTCTTGCATACAAAAAAACGAATGCGCGCGGCGCGAAGGCGAGAACCACATTTTGAAAACGGTCCGCCCTCAATCCGTGAAGCGCTTGCAAATTTCCCCAATCAGTGCTTGACCTGAAGGGGTCCTAACGGAAATTGAAAGATTTGGCGAACATTTCCCGCCGATTTTGGTAGCCAACTGAGTTCCCGGTTCCGGATTCCCAGGTTCCTAGTTATTGGTTCCTAGCCGATGTCGGTGGGTTCCGGGTTCCCTGGCTCCCGGCCGATCTCCTTATCGATCAAACTATCCACTGATTGGGGCTTTCCTCGGGTGAAAATTCTGGAACGAATGTGCGCGGCGCTAGGGCGAGAGCCACATTTTGAGAACGACCCGCCCTCCATCTGTGAAACTGTTGCCACCTTTTTTTAACTTCAGGGTCGTAAAATGGTGAGGCAGTCTCAGGCGAAACGCCCGGCTCGCCTGAATAACTGGCCATGGTGTGCGACAGGGAAAAATCACTTGTAAGGAAAAGGAATGGAGGAGGAGGAGGAGGAGGAGGATCAGGAGGAGGAAGAGGAGGATGAAAGAGGGAGTTGCTGAGAAGGAGGACCCGGTAATTGTTCCCCTCCATATCCCTCAGCGCAGGCTGAGGGCGGGGGGCTACGGATAGCGCCAATATCAGGTGCAGGTTCAGGTTTGGGGAGGAGGGTGGGAGGGAGGATCAAGTGAGGAGGAGGGGGGGATGGAGGAGGGGGAGCAGTGTGTAGGACGACGGAAACTGCACCCCAACATCGAGTGCGGCTAGGCCAATCCTGGGGCAAAGATCGGTAGATACGCGCTCGTAGCCTGGACAGGACGCCGCTTGCACCGAAGGGGAGACGTTCCTCAACTTATGCTTGCACTAAATGGGTGCTGTCTTACTTGTGCACTGACCGCTCGGGCTCCCCTGGGTGAGTCGCACACGCTCGAGTGGCCGCTTCGGCCCGCATGGCTTCATGGAGGTAGCTGACGCACTGTCGGGTCACCCTGAAGGGTTTTTGCAGCCCCGAGACCCCGAGAGCCCGAAAGCGACGAAAAACTGCAAAACCCATTTCCCTCAGGACCCGTCTGCTTGGAGGGTGCGCAAAACGTGCCAGGGAGGCGCACGGGAAACATTCAACTAAGAAGAGGCGCGGTGAACTCTGGGGAGATATCCTGGCACTGCCCAAGATATCACCCCCACCCGTGATCATCAACCCCTCATCAAGGAAGCACAGAATTGTATTAACGACGCGTGGAAAGGCGACGGGCCCCACTTCCGTAGAGAATCGGTGCGCTCAATCGCCAAATGAGGCGGCACGTGCTTCCTGTTCCAAAAGGTACGTTCCCCGATCCGTGGATCTAGCGCCCACGCGCCAGATCCATGGCATGGATCCCTAATCCACGTTAGCGCGTGCTCGATCTTGGCCGGCCCCAGCCATCCTGGCTGCCATGCCTCCCTCACTGACTACTGAAACATGGCCGAACTACAGCGGGGCCCGCTCGCAACACCACCCAGGACTTCTGAAGAAGAAAATCAAGACACGGGCAACTGAAAGCACAAGCTGCAGCGCCTCCAAATCAAGAGACGGCCTGAACATCAATGGGGCATGACAATTTTAAAGTTAGGTCGGACATGTCGTCCTACATGCGGATTTGATCAAAAGTAGTCAGAAGAGCATGACAAATCGTCAAACGACTATTTTTGTTACTATTCTTGATTGTTCCTCCTGTAGAGGGACATGCTCGACGGAATCTTAAATGCTCGAGGGCGGGGGATGGGCCTCGAATTCGACCGGTGACTCCCGGGCTCCCCCGGGATGCGGCTGCCCGCCGCGCAGCGGCTCTCCCCCTCGCCGAAGAAGAACGGGGCCTCGCGCCCCACGAGCCTCTGCGGGGTGGGCGTAAGACGACGCCAGGACGGGGATGACATCGGGCGAGGACACATCGAGCATCTCTGAGATCCGGCGCCTCGGGAGGATGCCTCGGACGCCGCGGCCTTCTCGGAGCGTTCTGGAATGCCCTGAGTAGGGGGAAAACGAACCTACCTCGCTTTTGACCACCCTCGCTTCCAAGAGATACCAAACGATGCCAAATTGCAGCCTGTACTGGTCAGGCCGCTTGACGAGGAGGCGCGTGGTATGGCTTGGTTTTGCCTGGAAGCGAAAGCGGGGTAGGTAGTTCACGCTCTGACTGAGAGACTTCCAGGACGCGCTGGAACGGGTTTGCCCTCGTCTTGGCCCAACCCGATGGGGGGGCGGCGGCCGGCCGCCGCCCACCGGCCCACGCGCGGGGGAGGGCGCAGCGCGAGAGCTGGAAGGGCGGTCTGGGCGACTCGCCGGTTCCTTCCACAAAGCGTGCCCTGACACCTGGCGCCTCGACAAAAATCGAGACGGAGGCTGTTCATCGGTCTTACCGGGCCTCGGGAGCGGCAAAAAACGACTCGGAATGAGAAACTGGCGTTAGGGAAGTGGTCTAGACCTCCGGGGCCCACACATCGACAAACATTGGAGCAGCCCGGATGTCTGGGACGTATGACCCTAAAGCTTGGACCTTCCAGTAACTACCCTGTTTGGCGGCTCGTTTCTGAAATGCGGCTCTCGCCCTAGCTCCTCACATTCGGAGTAGGCACCTCCAGAAGTCACACTGCCAGCGGATCATTCTCATGATTCTCAACTGCCGCGCTCATGCGTCTCAGTTGCTTACCACACGTAGTCGGACGGACGGCTTCACTTGTTCACGATGTGGCTCTCGGTTGAGACCTTCTCATACCTAATGTTCGCAACGCTTGGAATTCAACATAACTGTAAATACAGAAGGATATCCGCTTTCACTATGTGGCTCTCCATTCAAACTTCCGCGGATTCAGTTCCATCAAGCCTGAATGACAATTCCAACGATTCCACATCTGGAAGAGGGTGATGTTTCAAAACCGCGCGTTCGCTCGAGTATTCATGCCATGGCGAGCATTACAATGAGCTTCTTCATACACTAGCATCACGAAACTCGATTTTACTATCACCAGCTGCGCGGAGGGAGACCGCTTCGTTTCGATATAGTGACCTCTCCACGGCGCCGTGCACGTGCTTAGGAAAGCTACTACCTGACACACAAATGGAGGGTGATTCCTTATCGAAGGCATGTCATGTGCAACGATAAGCCATGGAGTTTTGCTATGGAGTGCAATTGTTACTCGATGCGAAAGCAACAGAGCGATGCCAACATGCAGGTCATCAGTTTTTCCCTCGGAGGATCGCCGTAGCGAGCGAACATCCTACCAGCCCTTTTGTGATGAAAAAACGTTTCCACTTTCAACCCCGTGGTTTTACCCCTTCGGGGAGTTTTGCCCCTCAACTCCCCTGGAACTGTACGGGACGGGTCCCGAGGGGTTGGAGCGCCCAAGAAGGCCTCAGCGAGAAAGCACACATCACCGATCGTCTTAAGGTGTTGGACCCAGTTTGGCCTCCGGGGCTGGAGCGGGGCAAAAGACTACCCCCCCTTCTTCGACCGAACTCATCCAAGATGGTCCCAACATGGCACCGAAGGCTCCCGAGAGTGCCCGAATCTGGCCCCGAGGAGCCCCCAAGAGGTCCCCCAGAGTCTCCCAAGAGGCTCCCAAGAGGCCTGGAGAGGCCCGCCCGAGGCACCCGAGACGCTCACAGAGGCTCCCGCGACCGCCAAGAGGCCCTGAAGACGCCCCGAAAAGCCCTCAAACGACATCCGAATAAACTCCGAGGGAGCATCCAAAGAGGCATCGGGCCATTCTGCTCACGGTCCTCCTCCTCCTCCTCCTCCTCCTCCTCCTCCTCTTCCTGCTCCTCCTCCTCCTCCTCCTCCCCCTGCTCCCTCCTCCTCCTCCTCCTCCTCCTCCTCCTCCTCCTCCTCCTCCTCCTCCTCCTCCTCCTCTTACTCTTTCTCTTCTTCCTCCCCTTCCTCCTCTTCCTCATCCGCCTGTTCCTCCTCTCCCGTGCTCCCTCCTACCACTTCCTCTCCCCCTCCTACTCCTCATCCTCCTCCGACGACGATTCTTCCTCCATGCTCCCACTCTTGGGGTACGACGGCTTCCCCAGCCCCTTATTCCAATGCGTGCTCCTCCACATCCCCGATCAAGGCAACTCGCCAGGCATCGCTTCCGGATGGGCTGGGTCACTTCGTTTAGTCTTATAGTAACCATGTATGGGGTTTGTGCGACGGCAGGGCGTGTTGCAGCGTCATACATGTTCTGGATCAGCTGGTCCTCGTCTTCTTCCTTCTCCTCCTCCCCCTCCTCCATTTCTGGGCCTTCGCGGGCCTCCCCTGTCCCTGAAGCTGGACGCGCCTTGGAGACCAAGCCAGGGCGCTACGCGAGAAGGACCCGGGACCCGGTTTTGAACGGTCCGTCCGTGTGTTTCCGCGCAGCCACCTCTTCTGCTTGCTGGTCGTCGACCTCTTGCACAACAGCCTCCACCCAGCTTGCACGAGCGCGCATGCGGACTGCCTCTGCCGCTCTGCGACGTACAACAAGTGCTCCGGCCCTGGCCCTGACCGCGATGTTGTGTAAGCCACCCTCTTGTGAAATAGCGGGGGAGGAGCAAGCCATCCAGAGGGCGGGGGAGAACGGCGGGGGCGGTGGAGGATAGCGGGGGGCCGAGGGGAAGGGCCAGAGAGTGGGGCTGCGAGCAACGACGGGCGAATCGGGGTATGATACGTACGGAGGGGGGGCAAGGGAGGAATGCGGGCAGGGCGCTGAGGATAAGAGTCCCCTCTGTTGCTCGGCTTTAGCCCCCCCACCGCCTGCTGCATCCTGCCCCATTCCAGCGTTCCCTGTTCCTCCCGACTCCTCCTCCTCCTCCTCCTCCTCTTCCTCCTCCTCCTCCTCCTCCAACTGATCTTCATCCTCCTTGCCATCCCCATCGCCTGCTGTCGCCGCCGAAGCAGAGCGGCCCGGCAGGATCCGTGTCGGGGTAGCCGTTGCAGAGCGCGTACTGGCCGAACGCGGGGGACACCAGCAAGGAGTAGCGCGAGATCCTTGTGTAGTTGTGGTCCACGAAGCTCCCGTTGCGGTCGGGGTTCAGGACGTCCGAGCAGATGAAATCCACGTCGCCTTGGGATAGCGACGTGGACCTTTGACTGACTGGTGCCAGCTGAACAGTACAAGTGCCACCAGGCCACCACAATGACCAACACCACAGACCAACACCACTACCGTATGAAATGCTTTCCTCGAACAATCCGCGCTGACCAACACCACCCACCAGGCCACCGCAAAACCGTCTCCGGACAAAGTCTTGGAGGATGTGACCTGCAGTCCCAGCTGCGAGAGAATGCCGCTCAACGCATGGGCCTCAACAAGGCCTGAGGCCTGAGGAGTCAGGGCGGTGCTGGCCAGCTTCCTTCTCCCGATCGCCCGCGAGGTCGGCCACGTCTTGGTCGGCGATGTCGTAGTCTATGGCGGACATGCCTGAGGGAACACAACTGAGAAAGACAAGTATCGGGTTGGGAAGATGAGGTTGGGAGACATGATCAGGTCATCCGTATTGCCGCATATGGCGCACTTCGGGAACCCTGAACCCAACAACGTTTTCATCTCTTGGGAGGTCGACTTTTGCTTCCGCCGCCTTCCGCCGCCTTCCGCCGGCATCCCGCTGGCTTCCGCCAGCGGAGGCGCCCTCGTTTACTCCTGCCGCCTTCGGCCACCCGTCCGCGGCCTTCCGCCGAGGAAGAGATGGCAACTCGCTCGATCCTCGAAGGCAAAGCCCTTTTTGGAATACCCCTTAAGTTGAGGGTGTTTATTACACAGTCGTGCCCTGTACCTTCCCAGAGCCTTCCTCCCAACACGAGAATTGTTTATTCTCGAAAATGGTCAGGAATGAGGGTGCCGAACGGTCATTCAATGTCCCTGGGTGCGTGGCTGAAGTGGGCTTCCACGGTGCGGATTGTTGTTGTTGGTGGTGTTGCTGCTGCTGCTGCTGTTGTTGTTGTTGGTGGTGGTGCTGTTGTTGTTGTACGTGCTGATGTTGTTGTTGTTGCAGTTGGTGTTGTGTGTTGTTTGTTGTTGTTGCTGATGTTGTTGCTGAGCTCTCAACGTTTGAAAACAATACTTATTGAAAACCCCCCATATCAGGTATCAGGTGCGCTTTTCAATTAAAGTGCCCCTCTTGAGGCTCGCACCCTGTTTCCTATCAGGGGAAATCTTGGTGCTCATACTCACCCCTGGCCCCCGAACTACAACAACAACGGTTCCCGCCTGATACATCCTCACACTGTTTTTGAGAAATCGCACTCTCGCGCGGAACCTCCTCACAATCGGTGCAGGAATATTGCTCTCGCAAGGGAGCTCTTCACAATGTTTCCAAACGCCGTGCCCTGGGCGCTCAGGAATCGCGCTCTCGCTCTGGTTGATCTCGCGATTCACTTGGGAAATCGCGCTATCGATCGAGACTTTCTTGTGATTCATGCAGAACTCAGTCTCACGCTTCAACAACCCGCCTGCTCGACCTGGCCGCTTGGGCTCGCCTTCCCGACCTGCCTGTTAAGGTCTACCCGCCCGATCAGGCCGTCTGGTTCTGCCAAGTGTTTTCTGTTCCTGGCCCCCGTCCTGCTAATCCCGTGCTCTATCCGTATCCCTCCCCCTCCCATCCAAATTCGTTTCCCCTGTTTCCTGGGCTGCACCACTGCCACGCGGCAGGCAAGGACGATACCCCCAGAGGGGTATGATCGAAGACGAAGGGGGCTGGTATTGAGGGCTTGGGAAATACATGCGTATTGACTGGCACCAGAGCAGGTAAGAGCGAACAGTCTTAAAATGGTTGTTGTTGTTGGTGGTGATAGTGTTATTGTTGGTGCTGTTGTTGTTGATGCTGTGGTTGTTTGTGTTAGTGCTGTTGTTGTCGACGTCGTTGTTGTTGGTGGTGGTAGTGAAATATTAATATTATTATTCTTCTGATTATGGTGATTCTTGTCAAAATGAAGGGGCCGAACGGAAATTCCTTGTCCCTGGGTGCGTGGCTGAATAAGGGACTCGTGGTGGGAATTCAGTTTGTTGCGATGTTGTTGTTGTTGTTGTTGTTGTTGTTGTTGTTGTTGTTGTTGTTGTCGTTGTCGTTGTCGTTGTCGTCGTCGTTCTCGTTGCTGTTGTTGTCGTTGTTGTTATTGTTTCTTGTCGTCGTCCCACCCGCGACCCACCCGCGACCCACCCCGCGACCCACCCGAGACCCACCCTGCGACCCATCCGCGACCCACCCCGCGACCCACCCCGCGACCCACCCCGCGACCCACCCCGAAACCCACCCCGCGACCCACCCCGCGACCAACCCCGCGACCCACCCCGCGACCCACCCGCGACCCACCCCGCGACCCACCCGAGACCCACCCCGCGACCCACGGATTTTCTGCTCTCTACACCTGCGACCCACCCGCGACCCAACAACGACCCACCCACCCACCCGCGACCCACCCCGCGACCCACCCGCGACCCACCCGCAACCGACCCACAATGGTTCAACGAAAAAATCGGCGCCTGCGGCGGGCTCATTGTGAAACGGTGGCGCCGGCGCCGGGCTTTTCCAAAGTCTCGCAAACTGCCGACGTCCCCACCGCCCCTTCACTCTTAAACGCATCTGCGGGGTGCTACGGTGATTGTGTTTGGTGTTGCTGTGATTGTGGCTGTTATTGTTGATGAGTTTGGCGTTGCGGTTGGTGTTGTTTATGTTGATGTTGCTGATGCTGTGGTTACTGTTGTTGTTGGTGTTGTTGTTGTTGTTGTTGTTCTTGTTGTTGTTGTTGTGGTTGTTGTTGTTGTTGTTGTTGTTGTTGGTGTTGTTGTTGTTTTTTGCTGTTGTTGTTGTTGTCGTTGTTGTTATTGTTGTTGGCGTTGGCGTTGCTGTTGTTAAGGGTGGTGCTGTTGTTGTGGTTGGTGTTCGTATTGCTGTTGTCGTTGATGTTGCTGTTGTTGCTGAACTCTCGCTTCTGAAGAACAAGTGGCACGCGTGCCATGGCTCTTGCATAAAAGGGAAGGGGCGGAGGAGGAGGTGGAGGAGGAGGGAAGAAGAGGGGGCAAGACATCGCCCCTCGGGGCCCAGTAACGGAGCCCAAATCCCAGGTGGGGAAGGGGGGGGGGAGGTGGCGTGCGTCGCGACGCGGAATAAAGTGCTCGGAGCGGAGGGGGCACGGGGCGGAGGTCCCACTGGGGCGCTTGGGGCCCGGAGAGGAGGGGGGGGAGGTGGTGTGCGTCGCGGCGCGGAATGAAGTGGTCGGGCCGGAGAGGCACGGGGCGGGGGTCCCACTGGGGCGCAGGGGGCGCGGGGGGGAAGGGGGAGGTGGTGTGCGTCGCGACGCGGAATAAAATAATCGGGGCAAACGGCCACGGGGCGGGCGCCCACTGGGGCGCTGGGGACGCGGGGGGGAGGGGGGGAGGGGTCGGGGGTCCCACTTGGGCGCTGGGGACGTTGGGGGGAGGGGGGGAAGTGGCGTGCATCGCGACGCGGAAAAATATCGGGGCAGAGGGGGCACGGGGCGGAGCTCCCACTGTGACGCTGGGGACGCGGGACGGAAGGTTGGGGAGGCGGTGTGCGTCGTGCGCGGAAGAAAGCGTTCTTGGCGGAGGGGGCAGTGGGCGGGGCCCCCACTGGGGCGCTGGGGACGCGGGGGAGCTCGGGGCAGAGGGCCACGGGGCGGGGGTCCCACTGGGGCGCTGGGGGCGCGGGGGGAAAGGGGTGGGGGAGGTGGTGTGCGTCGCGACGCGGAATGCAGTTGTCGGGGCGGAGAGGGCACTGGGCGGGGGGGCGACTAGAGCGTTGGGGGCGCGGGGGGAAAGGTGGGGGAGGTGGTGTGCGTCGCGACGCGGAATGAAGTGGTCGTGGCGGAGGGGGCAGTGGGTGGGGCCCCGACTGGGGGAGGGGAGGTGGTCATGTGGTGCGTGAGGTGGGGGAGGTGGGTGTGCGTCGCGGCGACGCGGAACAAGTGGCACGCGTGCCCTGGCTCTTGTACAAAGGAGCTGCGATGGACTGGGAAGCCTGGACGGAGGAAGGCTGGACGGAGGAAGGCTCCCAAGGGTGGGTGGCTCAGGGGAGATGGGGCTCAGGCTCAGGGGGGGGGGCGAGGGGGGCGAGCCACCACGAGCCACGAACCACGACGAAAATAAAGGGTTCCGCGGCCCAGGGGGGCTGCCCTGGAAGCCTGGGCGGGGGGGTCCAAGGGGGAGGGGGCCCAGGGGAGCTGGGGCTCAGGCTCAGGGGAGGGGCCGAGGGGGAAGAACCACGACGAACCACGAACCACGACGAAAATAAAAGGTTCCGCGGCCCAGGGGGGCTGCCCTGGGAAGCCTGGACGGAGCAAGCCTCCGAAGGGTGGGTGGCCCAGGGGAACTGGGGCTCAGGCTCAGGGGAGGGACCGAGGGGGGCGAACCACCACGAACCACGAACCACGACGAAAATAAAGGGTTCCGCGGCCCAGGGGGTCCTGGACAGAGCAAGCGTCCGAAGGGTGGGTGGCCTAGGGGAGCTGGGGCTCAGGCTCAGGGGAGGGGCCGAGGGGGACGAACCACCACGAGCCACGAACCACGACGAAAATAAAAAGGGTTCCGCGGCCCAGGGGGGCTGCCCTGGGAAGCCTGGACGGAGGGGGGGTCCCAAGGGGGGTGGGGGCAGGGGAGCTGGGGCACAGGCTCATGGGAGGAGCCGGGGGGGGACGAACCACGACGAACCACAAACCACGACGAAAAAAAACATGTCCGCGGCCCAGGGGGGCTGTCCTGGGAAGCCTTGACGGAGCAAGGTTCCGAAGGGTGGGTGGCCCAAGGGAACTGGGGCTCAGGCTCAGGGCAGGGGCCGGGGGGGGGCGAACCAACACGAGCCACGAACCACGACGAAAATAAAAAGGGTTCCGCGGCCCAAGGGGGCTGCCCGGGGAAGCCTGGACGGAGTGGGGGTCCCAAGGGGGGAGGCCCAGGGGAGCTGGGGCTCAGGCTCAGGGGAGGGGACGAACCACGACGAACCACAAACCACGACGAAAATAAGGATGTCCGCGACCCAGGGGGGGCTGTCCTGGGAAGCCTTGACGGAGCAAGCGTCCGAAGGGTGGGTGGCCCAGGGGAGCTGGGGAAGGGCCGAGGGGGACGAACCACCACAAACCACGAACCACGACGAACATAAGGATGTCCGCGGCCCAGGGGGGCTGCCCTGGGAAGCCTTGACGGAGCAAGCCTCCGAATGGTAGGTGGCCCAGGGGCGCTGGGGCGCAGGCTCAGGGGAGGGGCCGAGGGGGACGAACCACCATGAGCCACGAACCACGACGAAAATTAAGGGTTCTGCGGCCCAGGGGGGCTGCCCTGGGAAGCCCGGGCGGAGGGTGGGTCCCAAGGGGATGTGGCCTGGACGGAGCAAGCGTCCGAAGGGTGGGTGGCCCAGGGAAGCTGGGGCTCAGGCTCAGAGGAGGGGCCGAAGGGGACGAACCACCACGA